GAGGAGGAGGAGGGGAGGAGGAGGGGAGGAGGAGGACACGCCAAAATTATGTCGTGGGGTCTTTTCTTGGCGGGTGAGGTGCGGTTACTGAGTCTAAAAAAAAAATTGGGTCTCTCTCTCTCTCTCTCTCTCTCTCTCTCTCTCTCTCTCTCTCTCTCTCTCTCTCTCTCTCTCTCTCTCTCTCTCTCTCTCTCTCTCTCTCTCTCTCCTTGTGGGTGCGTTTTCTCTGTCCTTGAAGACACCTTTTCCTCTCTTCTGTCTCGTTTCTCGTGTTTTATCTCTTCCTTTTTTATCTTTCTCTCTCATTCCCTCTCTCGCTCGTGCTCGTACAATGTATATAAAGCATCACGGACGGCCAAGGATTTGTACACATTCTAAGTTTCTTCAAAAAATAGTTATTATTATTATTATTATTATTATTATTATTATTATTATTATTAGTAGTAGTAGTAGTAGTAGTAGTAGTAGTAGTAGTAGTAGTAGTATTACACAGTATGGATGTACGTCAGGTCCTGGATATATGAAATTGATAGAAAATGTAACTCGAGAATGGATGATCTTATGGCCGCCAAATTTATATAAATAATCTCGCGTGATTATTCGAGAATATGATTACATTAAGAATACCAAATCATATTACATGTTCCTACTAGTGTATTCTGGTCCTCCTACACGAGAGGGTTTAAGAGATCAGATGCCGAGGTGAAATCTTGGATATATGGACGAGCAATGCATTCAGAGTCACAACACTCTCAATGGCCAAGGGTTAAGATAGATCAGGTGATACAGGAGACGCGCTAGTGAGTGTCGTCTCTTTGGTGTCTTGGTGTTTTGTAAATTGTAATTATTTTATGGTATTTTTTAATTATGAAAAATTATCCTGAATATAAGTAAAGTTCAAATCATTAGTTATTTAACCAGAACTGTATTGTGTATAATGTACTAGAGAGAGAGGTAAAGACACACCTGTGATTTAGACACTGGTGTCTTAACTCCCTTCAGTACAATAACTTAACCTAACCTCTAGAAGTTGATAGAAGCCGCTAGACTAAGGGAGGATGACGACACACACACACACACACACACGCATACACACACACACACACACACACACACACACACACACACACACACACACACACACACACACACACACACACACACACACACACACACACACACACATCTACACCTCAGTAAAGTCATGCATTCCTTCATGTCAGTTTCGCTGCGTGACTTTAATTTTAAGATCCTTATTGAAAAGTGGTGTACCCTAGATTATGACTACCAGGCCTTGGTAGCTGTGACTGTACTGAAATATATATATAAAGGATATCACGCTGCACATTTTGTTTATTAATGTGCTATTTTAGGCAGTTAAGGAAAATCGCTTCAATATATCTTAGGGAGGTATTTTATGTTGTATTCACAGAACATCATCTCTCGTAAGCAAACGAAATATACCATTAGTTGTCAATATATTCGCAGATGTAAATGTTTCCCCCGAGTCTAGGCCTGTTAGGTGTGTTCGGGCGACCATATCTTTATATTACACTCACACACTATCAGGACTTCCTCCATAATAGTTCTTCCTCTCAATACCATTCAGTCTTCACATTGAATATCTTAAAATTATCCTAAGTAAGTTTTCAATTTCGGAATCCATTTGTTTCTATATCTCGTGTGTGTGTGTGTGTGTGTGTGTGTGTGTGTGTGTGTGTGTGTGTGTGTGCCTTGCCATGGTGATACTTGCCCAAATGAAAACGTAATTTCCATCGATTCATTAGTAAACCCATTAGCGGGTGGAGCTCTTTAATGACCCCAGCAAATACATTGGGTTGGTTTGCCATCCTTATACACTCAACCCGTCTACCTTCCTCTCCTCTCACCCCTCCTTCCCTCCCTCAACCTCAATATAGCTCTCGGTCTCTCTCTTACCCCTTGTCCTACTCGACCTCATCCTCCCCTTCACCCCCTTCCCACCACTTTGGCTGTTCCCCAAAAGTGATGGCAGGAGGCCCGGGGCGGTTCCTCCCTGACCCCCGACACCCCTGACCTTCCGCTGTTCCCTAACCTGTCTTGACAAAATTGTTTATTTTTTTCCGAATATAAAGATAATAAATGAAGCTAGCAAGTCACAATAGTTCAAGTCCTTATGCTTATTATTTTCTCTTTTAACTATGATCTTCTAAAATTATATCTTTTTTTCTGGATCATGGAGCATATTCCGAATCATTCTTGATTTTAATCTTGAATCTCAGGAGCTTTCCATTACACTGACAACAAATCCTCTTTCCCTTAAGTTCTTATAGGTCAGATATTATCTCCGGGTTACTGAGGAGCTCTTACATAAAGACGTTCATACACGCACGTACCTCGTACCTTCAAATTACTGGGTGTGTTGTGGTACGTCCCTGCGATCGTCTGTGTCTTCCTTCGTGTCGTCTTTTATTTCTTTTTATTTTCCTTTTACATCAAGTTTGTTTTAAGGTTAACATCTCGTATTTTATGTTTTTCTCTTTCCAAAAACTTCAGGTCAGGATTGGTGTAGATAGTGATGGCGACGGTGTTGTAGTCACACGTGTGGTTTAGTTAGTATAACAGGCGGGTCTTGCTGTGGTCACGATGGCTGTCTCCTTATACTGTGGTACTGGAAGATGATAAAATTTTCTTCCTTTGAGGGAGTTATGAATGGTGAGTGAGTGTAAGAGACCACGTGTTTCTTGGCTGTGTAACATGTATCGGTTCACAAGGAATGTTTCTTATTAAAATTGAAAAACAAGATGTATGAAGGAACTGAAATAAATATAAAAGGAAGGATTTTTATAGTGAAACGCGGGAATTTTTTTATATGAAAACTGATACTGTACAAAGAGTCTTATAACAAGACGTCACATATCTCCACCTGATGGCTTGATCTCACTATTTCTATCGTCACCTCAGGACAAGTATAGCTCTCTCGTTTACAACCAGCTTTAGTCTATTCAGTAAAACATAATACCTGTATTTATAAAAGATTTAACACTTGTTGTATGACGTTTACACATGACAGTGCGTAGCAGCAATGTCTTGAGTGTAGAGACTGGTGGAGGGAGACTCTGTGTGTGGTAATAGTGATCTGTGTACACTTAGTCTCCTAACTTGTCTTTGTCAACATTGTAACAAAAGATGGTCTATTAACCTGATTTTATTTACGACTTTACGAAAGAAAAACAAAAGCCTCAGGAAAAAAAATAATAGGCCGTTGAACGAAAGCTAATCTTGGTGTAGTTTCCTGGTGTAGTTTTTACGACGTGTCCTCGGCTTTTGTCAGCCATAAATTTGACAGTGGTTGGTGTCTAAGCGACGTCCTTTTACAGCTGTTGTATTACTCAAGAATGTTATTAAATCACATGCAATTTTAATAATCCGCATTGCAGATTTGTGTGTTCACGCGCCGCCCGGCTTTTGTGTGTGTGTGTGTGTGTGTGTGTGTGTGTGTGTGCGCCTCCGAGTGGTCGGCGATCTTGCTTGATTTATTGTTTATATTCCTCCTCTGATGTTGTCTTGTTTGTTGGTCTGAGTCGAGGATTTGGCGAGATGAACGTGGAAGAGTAGTGTGCAGGGGAGTATGTTAGTGTACACAGTATTAGGCAGAGAGAGAGAAGGTGTGTGAACGTTTGATTGTGTATGCAGATGACACACACACACACACACACACACAGTGACAAAACAAGCGGAGGCGTGTAGACCAACACCACTTAAATCCGCTGGATCGCCCTGTCGGCCCCAGTTGGTAAATTTCCGACAAAACTCTGTGTTATTATTCAACTGTGTGAAATATGAAATAATGCCTGGCCCGTTATTTACACGAATAATAATTTCACATGCAGATCCATTATTAAACTGTAAGGTTCTTAATTTCTTAATTTGAATATGGATTCTATTGCGTTTTTATTCTGAGCGCCGGCGGTGGCGGGCGGGTGGACGGCAGGGCTGGCGTTAATGTATTCGGTGACGGTGGGGAATATACCAGGCTTGACCCACGCTAAGTGTGTATTATCATGGTGTAGGGGTCGGGGGATTAGTACCAGAGGTGCCGGAATAAATAAATAAATAAGGAAAGAGGAAAACACGAAGTTTATTGAAATACAAAGAATAGACACGAGGTGAGGAGGTGAGGGAAAACAAGTGAACTAGGAATACGGAAGAGGGAAACGTCGGAGAAGAAAAAGGCAAAGAAGAGAGAGAGAGAGAGAGAGATAAGTGATGACAAAGAAAATATGAGAAAAGTGTGGGAAAGGAAAGAATTTAACGAAGAGAGTGGAAAGGGAACATAGAAAGATAAGAGATGGGAGGGATGAAAAAGAGGAAATATGAAAGACAGGGAGAGAAAAGAGAGAGTTAGGGTGGTGAGAGAGGAGATTGAGGGTGGAGAGAGAGGGAGGACTTATGTGAGGTGAAAAGAGATGGTAAAGATAATAGGATGGAGAGGGTAAGTGCGGGGATGAGGTGAGGATGGAGAGGAGGGAACCAGAGATGAGAGAGAGGAAGAGGTGAGAGACAGAAGGAAGTGGTTGAGGAGAGTATAAGAGGGGGATTTATTTTCTTCTTCAGTGGGTCAGTCAGTTTGTAAGTCAGAAGAAGACTAACACATGTTAATTCTTATTACTAAGTGCCTCTTGAGACATTTATAGTCCAAGTGTTTGTATAGACTTATTGATGTGTCTTTGTTTTCATCATAAGGTATTAATTTTACACTATCATTGGACTGAATATTGGACATACACACAAAGTTATATAATTGGTTTGTAGCGAGACGTGTTGATATACGTACTGTACTTTTCCCTGACGATGAGGATACGGTGGCACGCTCTCCTTCCCTCCCTCCCTCCCTCACTTGTCCGGGCAGAGGTGCGTGACCCTCGGAGGTCTAACCTTCACCTCGTGCTGATTTAAACATAACCTGGAGGTTGTACTCGTCCAATACACTCTAATGTAGGAGGTGGGCGTGACGTGACTCACCGCTGGTCGTCGCGCGGCTGTCCAGGGTACTCACACGCCACCCGCTGCTGTCCAGGGCACTCACACGCCACCCGCGGCTGTCCAGGGGACTCACACGCCACCCGCGGCTGTCCAGGGGACTCACACGCCACCCGCGGCTGTCCGGGGCACTCACACGCCACCCACGGCTGTCCAGGGGACTCACACGCCACCCGCGGCTGTCCGGGGCACTCACACGCCACCCACGGCTGCCCAGGGCACTCACACGCCTTCCGCGGCTGTCCAGGGCACTCACTCGCCACCCGCGGCTGTCCAGGGCACTCACATACCACCCGGGGCTGTACAGGGCACTCACATGCCTCCCGCGGCTGTACAGGGCACTCACACGCCACCCGTGGGTGACCTATCCCTTCAGGCGGATGGACAGGTCAAGTGGTTGTTAGCGGCAGAAAACGAAACCTAGGGAGTATTGAAGGTAGTGATAGGAAGCAAGAATCGGGTGTCTATAGAATAAAATAAAACGGGAAATGTGGCTATTGAAAAGGGTATAGTATGTGTGTGTGTGTGTGTGTGTGTGTGTGTGTGTGTGTGTGTGTGTGTGTCATAATATGACCCAACACTCAAACAGTAAACAACGCCAAGAGGCAGCCTAAACCCATGGAGCCCTATACCTGTGTGTTAATATCGATAAAAAGAGGTCCATTAAATCAGGCGTAGAAATGTGTACAGTATAGTATGTGTTTGTCAAAGGCTGGATCATCATCATCATCATCATCATCATCATCATCATCATCATCATCATCATCATCATCATCATCATCATTATTATTATTATTATTATTATTATTATTATTAATGAGAATGATAGCGGGTGTACAGTCTCAGCCACGGTACAGTTATATACATACAATAAAAGACTTTGTTCAGCTTTATGTTAAGTCTCTGACATAGTCCAGATTGAACTCATAACCTCAGATATGACTCGACAAAGCATTTACTTCTCCAGTTATGTCTTACATCAAGCGCCATGGTCCTAATTTAGCCATTACTGGCTCAGTCATGAAGCAGATCGACCTCACTATCCGAAACGTCTTCCATCTTACCTCCAGACGTGTCACATCTTAACCACAGCTATGGACAATCTTAACCTCATTATGGACCACATTAACCCCAGTTATGGACCATCTTAACCCCAGACATGGACCATCTTAACCCCAGACATGGACCATCTTAACCCCAGACATGGACCATCTTAACCCCAGACATGGACCATCTTAACCCCAGACATGGACCATCTTAATTCAGACATGGACCATCTTAACCCCGACATGGACCATCTTAACTCCAGACATGGACCATCTTAACCCCAGACATGGACCATCTTAACCCCAGACATGGACCATCTTAACCCCAGACATGGACCATCCTAACCCCAGACATGGACCATCCTAACCCCAGACATGGACCATCCTAACCCCAGACATGGACCATCTTAACCCCAGACATGGACCATCTTAACCCCAGACATGGACCATCTTAACCCCAGACATGGACCATCTTAACCCCAGACATGGACCATCTTAACCCCAGACATGGACCATCTTAACCCCAGACATGGACCATCTTAACCCCAGACATGGACCATCTTAACCCCAGATACGGACCTTCTTAACTCCACAACCTCAGACGTGATACATCTTAAACAGTAAATTTTGGGAGCCTTACGATGACGGGTGCTCACGTAAGATAGTACATTCCTACTCCCAGCTGGTCTGCCTTCCCCATCCCTCAACCCCTTCCCCCCTTCTCCCTCCCTCCTCATTCCCTCGTCCCCTCCCACCCACGAGTTATATTGCCTATAAATGTTAGTATGAAAATTCTTATCACGGCGCCTGGCCTCGTAGCCTAATACACAGGGGTTACGACGCTCATTAAATCGCTCACGATGTGACCTGTGTTGTTGTTATTTTTTTTCTTTTTGTCACCATTGTGGGCCAAGTGGCGATGCACGATTTATGGCGGACGATTTTCCGTGTAAAAGAGAAGGTAACGACCCTTCAGCTTGTTGTCTGGCATCCTGACGGAGTTGATAATGCAGAGTGGTGGACCAGACGACCTTCTTGAGCGTCCGTCTTAAGGTTTTTCCCTGATTTCCTTAAAAGTTTCCACAAGAAAGTGAAACTTACCGTGTTTAGTGACAGCTTATTAGTGTGGAGGAGTGACGAATATATATATAGGAAAGTAGAGAGGCGTAGTGACCATGTGTAGACAGATATGTTAGTGGCGATTAAAATGAGAGCAGACGCCGACACTCATCTGTTGTGCCCCATTGAAGCATCCTACACGGTGACACCAGTGAAAGCAAATAGGAAAACTGCTCAGGTGGGTCGATTTTTTTTCTCGATATTAATCTGACAAGTAGGTCGTGCTAAGAGAAGAAATGGTAGTTATATGGTTTTTTTCATATCGTTTAAGCCTTACGGATATATAAAAAAATACAGCCACACATCCTCAACATTGCTAAAGCTGCCTTCCGAAAACTGGGAATGCTGTACAGATGCCGTAGCTACTTCACTCCTGAGCAGTTGCTTCAAGTATGTAAGAGATTCACTCGTCCAAACTTGGAGTACTGCTCTCATATCTGGGGTGGCTCTTCTTCTGTCCAACTGTTAGATAGGGTGGAATCAAAGACATTTCGTCTTATTAACTCTCCTCCTTCAGTTGATAATTTCTTTCTTCCCTTTTCTTCGCCGCAATGTTGTTTCGCTCTCTCTCTTTTACAGGTACTTTAACGGGCAATGTTCGGTGGATTTGGCATCCTGTGTACCGCCGGCAAGGCCGTAGGCTCGTAACACACGTCTTGCCCTCGGTGCCCACCGTTTCTCTGTGGATGTCGGTCACACTGGAATAACCCGTTAGAGTACATCCTTCTTTCCTCACACAGCTAAACTGTGGAATGCTTTGCCTTCTTCTGTGTTTCCATACTCATACAATCTGTTTCACTTCAAAAAGCTGGTTTTCCGGCATCTTTGTGGTATAGATTAATATAATCTTTTTCTTTTCTATTTTCAATTTATTTTCACTCTTATTTTTTCGCCCCCTAGGCCCCGTTGTGGGTCGATGACCTGTGCTCGGGTGGGCTAATCCCCGTAAAAAAAAAAACAGAAACAAAGCAAGGATTAGCTGTTTTGGTTCTTGTCTCTTTAGTGTATTGAAAATGTGTTAGTCCACCTTACTATTAAGTCTGCCGCGTCTCCCATATTCAAGTCAAACCCTCATGACGTGCAGCGTAATGAATTAGTTTGACCGTCATGCTCCGTTTTTATCCCTTTGGGAGCTGACGCGGTGTTAAGACCATGAAATAAATATATAAATAGAATTAATACCCTTTTTAGGAGAAATGGCATCAGAGGTATATACTGTATTATGAACTACACGCGTGGCTGGGCGGGGAAGTGGGAGGTTTTTGTTGTATATATACAGTCCTAGCTGCCTGGTGTGATGGAAATAAAGATATGAAACTAAACTGAATATGCTATTATATGTATACAGCGTGTTACCTCAGTGAATATTAACACTACTACCAAAAGAAGTATATGATATGTACAGTAGTCGTTGAACTATTTCTCTATTGATGTTATCTCAGTTGTTTATATAAATAACACTATGGTAATGTATATATGTCGTTGTTGATTTAAATATGATATTTTGTGATGGGAGAAATATTTAACCTGTTCTTTTCTCTTCTACAGGTAAATTTTCATAGGAGATAGTTGACGAGATGCTCTGATTGGCCGACGAAAAGGTGATTGTTATGTTTTTTGTAGATTTCGTCACATTTAGTCCCCTTTTGATAATATGGACTTAATAATTTAAATTTCTTGAACAGAATCAAGATCAGTCTGTCTGTCTTTTAAAATTCTCACTATCAATTAACAAAGGGAAGAGATGATTATGGCATCGTATTGGTCAGGCTACCGAGGATGAGGTAATGTTTAAGGTCTCGACCACGCCCCTCAGTCTGGCCTTTGTTTTGGTGTGAGACCCGGCAGGTGTTTGTCTCTCTCTCTCTCTCTCTCTCTCTCTCTCTCTCTCTCTCTCTCTCTTAATACCTACACGCCATCCACCAGCATCCACATTCACACCATCCACTACCATCCACATCCACGCCATCCACCACCATCCACAGCCTAGCCACCCTCAACTATCCTCAACCACTCACCCACCTCACCAACCACAACTCCACCGGGTTTATCCACTTCCTCTTCGTCCACCTTCACTTCATCCACCAGCATCCACAGCCATCCTCACCCATCCTCCTGCGCAGTACAGCTGACAGCCTCTACGCCACCAGCTCTGCCAATCGTTACAAAATGCCAGGAATCAGTCACTCGTGAATTTCAATGCATGTTAATACACCCAACCTGTTTTTCTGTCTGCCACCTCTCTCTCTCTCTCTCTCTCTCTCTCTCTCTCTCTCTCTCTCTCTCTCTCTCTCACTACACTGTAATAGGTCTCCTTTACCCACTTGGCCCATGTACTCTCTCACTCCCCTCACCCACCACGCCCCTGGCATAGATCAACACACACACGTCATTTCAGGATACAGCAAATTGTTGTATTTTATCGATTAGGCGACTCTGAGTCGTGCAGGTAAAAGACCTTTGGGGGGGTGGGAGGTAGGGAGGGAGGAGTAGAGGGAAGCCAGGGAGGGTGGAGAGGTAGGGTGGAGGGTTGGAGGGAGGGTGGATGGAGGAAGGTTAGGATGGAAAGTAGGATGGAGGATGGCTTAGCTTAGACTCGGTATCAATAATGTGCCGGCCAATCTTCACGCCTTGTCAGTGCTTTCATGGATGTGTTTTGCCTTCATGAATAATTTAAATTGGGACTTTGTTTCTGTTGTTAGGCCGTTGTTGTAGCTCCAGCTGTGTGTGTGTGTGTGTGTGTACCTACTTCATCTTCTTACTTATGTTTCTTTATCACTCATGTTCCCGTTTTCTCAACACAGATAATGGCTGCCATAAACACCACTGGATTTTTCAAGAAAGTCCTTTATTAATGGCTTTAAATAGGCACTAAAAACAGGGATAAAACTCTGCCTTTAATTCATTGACCTTTTTTTTTCGTGTTGCTTAATGAACATTGTTTAGGACGTTAGGGTCTTCAAATTATGTTGTTGTTTTTTACATTTTAGAATTTGTATTATTTATTTACATACATCACTTTAACTAACACCGCAATTACTATCAAAATAAGAGTAATTAATGAGGTTGAGAATAATACCCTTAATCCAGGCCAAGAAAAGCAACGATACAGAAAACTACATAAACACAAATAAATTTCCTAAAATCCTAAATATACATTCCCAATTACCTCGAGCTCACCAATGTTTACAGTCCCGGAGATCGCTTATACACCGTTAACATCATCATCTCAAAATTCTGTCCATAGAGAGGAAAAGGAATGATTCATTTTACATCTTTCTTTCCATAACCATAAATATCCCTAAAAGATACTTTACATTTGGCTTATTAATTAATTACGGTTATCTAGAATATAATTTTAAGTCAGTCATTCTGGTTTACGCTGTGATCGTTCCTGTTCTCTACCTGGGCAGGTCGTTGGTCTAATTAAGTTATCTACCTGTTATGATTTATAACCATTTGTGGTTATTTATTCGAACGGAGATGTGGGAAAGAGAGCGCGAGAGAAGCAGACAGAGCGAGAGACGGAGAGATAAAGAGATTGAATTGTAACAGACAGACAGAGAAGCGGTACACACATAAAACTATGATTTTTTTTCCCAAGTGGCTTATGTCTTTGAACTAATGAAACAAACCCAAAGTTCTTGTACGCGCGGTAAAATACTGCCTTTATCGACAAGACCAATTAAAGCCGTCCTCCACGTCACAGGCATGTCGTGTGTAATGATGCCGGGGTCGTGTCGTATTGACTACCAGATAAAATAAGAAAAATAGAAATCTCCCACCGTTAGATCCAGTTGGTTGTGTTTCATGTTGTGTTTTGAA